TAGCTCAGTGGTTTGAGCATTTGCCTGCTAAACCCAGGACTGTGAATTCAATCCCTGAGGGGGCCATTTAGGGATCTGGGGCAAAAATTGGGGATTGGTCCTGCTTTGAGCAGGGGGTTGGACTAGATGACCTCCTGAGGTCCCTTCCAACCCTGATATTCTATCTGGTGGTGGCCACGCACCTCCAGGCTTTGGGTGCTGGGACCCTTCTTCTCAGCTTCAGCCCTCTCAGGTTAAGATCCCTCTCCCAGTCTGCGCTGGGCCCTTTGCCCAGGGTCCCCCCCGGCTGGCCCCAGTTGCTCACCACACCTAGCTCCAGACTGCTCCAGCTCGACTGTTCTAGCTCTGGTTCCACTCTGCCTCAGCACTGATGCCGCTGCTCTGCCTCCAGCCCCCTGGGCTGCTTCTCTGGCTCAGTGGCTGCAGGTCTGCTCTCCCTGGGCTGTGTCTCTGGCTCTGCTGGCTGGCCCGGCTCTGCTCCCCAGCTCAGCTCGGGCCCCTGCTCTCTCCTTAGCTTGGCCCCACTCTGTCTGACCCACGCAAGTCCAGCTCACACAGAGGACCGGTCCCTCCCTGGCCTCCTGACTTCCTGATTAGCCTGCCCGCCCTGTCAGTCAGGCTGACCTGGAGCATTGGCCTCGCCATATTGTTCCTGGGGACTGTCAGTCTCAGGGTCCTGATTTCCCATTGACCCTTCCCCTTCCTTTTAGTACTGGAGCTAGCCAGCCAAAACACTCCCGCTGAATGTTAGTAAGGGGACAACAGTCTCCTTACATATGTATGGGGCTGGGGGGTGCATGTAGTGTGTAGGGGCACATGTATTCAGAAAGTGTGTGTGGGAGTGCTTGTATGCATGTGTGTATAGAGTACATGGCTGGGAGTGTGTATGTGTGCACGCACACGCGGAGTGCGTCTGGATGTCTCAGTGAATGTGTTTGTGAGTGTGTGTGTGTGTAGAGTGCTCTGTGGGGGTATGTGCTTTGTCAAACTGCTTGTGTTTGTGTCACTCTGTGGCCAAGGGTGCATTTGTCCCTGTGTCTGGCTGATCTGGGGCTTTCTCTCCAGCTCACCTTGTCGCCATCTGATCCCTGGAGTTATCCTGTTGGAGTGGGATCTGGGACAGGCTGGACTGGCTGGGCCTAGGGAGATCCAGGACAGGCAGGCTGGGCCCAGGGGGCTCCGGGGCAGGCTGGGCTGGCTGGACTGACAGGGGGAACCAGGGCAGGCTGGGCTGGCTGGACTGACAGGGGGAACCAGGGCAGCCCAGGCTGGCTGGACCCAGGGGGACCTGGAACAGGCCTGGCTGGTTGCATCCAGGTGATCTGGGGCAGGCCAGGCTGACTGGGCCCAGGGGGATCCGTGACAGGCTGCGCTGGTTGGATACACTATCAAGTCTGATGCTCTTTTTCTTCTGTCTTTCCCCCTGACCAGCCCAGCCCCGCAGATAACGACTGGGGAGGGGCTGGCTCCAGGGCCCACTGTTACCGGCTTGCCAGGCTCCCTCTGCACCAACTCCTGTCTGATTCACCCTGCAGTGTCCCCCAGTGCTCTTGGACTTGGGGCTTTGACACCCTCATAGTCCTGGGGCAAGCCGAGAAATGGCCCTAACGGGGCTGCCCCGACCCCATCAGCCTGGACCAGCCCAAGCTGATCCCGAGCAGGGAGTGAGGCCCGAGGGCCTGTCCCATGCTGCCCAACCCCTCTGGGTTGCCAGGTGTCAGTTAGGGTTGCCAACTTTCTAATCACAAAAAACTGAACACCCTAGCCCCACCCCTTCCCGACACCCCACTCCCTACCCCAGCCCTTCCGTGAAGCCCCCCCACCCCACTCACTGCATTCCCCCTCCTTCAGTGGCTCACACTTCCCAACCCTCACTCACTTTCACTGAGCTGGGGCAGGGAGTTGGGGTGTGAGAGGGTGTTGTTGGGAACACTGGGGCATGGCCACTAGGTAACTCGAGGGGATGAAAGACCACGAGTGTCGATGAAGCCCCCTTGCACTAGGCCCTGGTGTCCTTGGCCCCCCTCCTGCCTGGAGGCACTCGCAGCAGCTCTGCGTACTAGGCCCAAGTGTCCTTGGCCCCCCTGCCTGGAGGCACACACAGCAGTTATGCTGAGAATCTGCAACAGTATGTTGCAGAGTCAGACTGCCTAAAACTAAGCAAGGCCAAACAGGGGAGATATGGAAAAACAATGCTGAATAAAGCAGCTTTATGTATAGTTTAACAAATGATACAAAGAATCAGGGAACTAGCTGGGAACTGGATTGGCTGGCTATATAAATACTTGGAGCAGCTTGCTATTGAATAAGTATACTGGGAAAAAAAATGTATAAAAGTCTGTGTAACTTCCTGCTCTGTTGTGCAGGATTTGAGATTTTATTCTCCCTGTACCTTTTTGCAGCTGCAAATAAACTTGTCTGCTTCTTCACCCTGTTGTAATTATTGGGTGTAGCACACCGGGTAACAAACCACTCAAGCGGTTGTTCAGCCTCTCGGCACTGGGTGCCGGCAACAGTGTCAAGGTTCCTTCCCCACTCTGAACTCTAGGGTACAGATCTGGGGACCTGCATGAAAAACCCTCTAAGCTTATTTTTACCAGCTTAGGTTAAAACTTCCCCAAGGTACAAACTATTTTACCCTTTGCCCTTGGACTTTATTGCTGCCACCACCAATCCTCTAAAAAATATATAACAGGGAGAGAGCCCGCTTGGAAACGTCTTTCCCCCGCCAAAATCCAAACCCTACAACCCGTTTCCTGGGGAAGACTTGATAAAAATCCTCACCAATTTGCATAGGTGAACACAGACCCAAACCCTTGGATCTTAAGAACAATGAAAAAGCAATCAGGTTCTTAAAAGAAGAATTTTAATGGAAGAAAAAGTAAAAGAATCACCTCTGTAAAATCAGGATGGTAAATACCTTACAGGGTAATCAGATTCAAAACATAGAGAATCCCTCTAGGCAAAACCTTAAGTTCCAAAAAGACACAAAAACAGGAATCTACATTCCATTCAGCACAGCTTATTTTATCAGCCATTTAAACAAAACAGACTCTAACGCATACCTAGCTAGATTACTTACTAAATTCTAAGACTCCATTCCTGTTCTGTCCCCGGCAAAAGCATCACACAGACCTTTGTTTCTCCCCCCTCCAGCTTTGAAAGTATCTTGTCTCCTCATTGGTCATTTTGGTCAGGTGCCAGCGAGGTTATCTTAGCTTCTTAACCCTTTACAGGTGAGACAATTTTTCCTCTGGCCAGGAGGGATTTTAAAGGTATTTAAAAGATCTTAAAGGGGGTGAGGGCTCCAGCTGGGAGTGTAGGCTCTGGGGTGAGGGATTTGGGGTACAGGAGGGGGCTCCAGATGGGGGGTGGGACCAAGGTATTCGGAGTGCGGGAGGGGGCTGTGGGTTGAGGCAGAGGGTTGGGATGAAGGAGGGGGTATGGGCTCTGGGCTGGGGCTGTGGTCTCTGGGGTGGGGCCTGATATAAGGGGTTTAGGGTGTGGGATAGGCTCTGGGCTGGGGCAGAGGGTTGAGGTGATGGGGGGCATGAGGGCTCCGGCTGGGGTTGCAGGCTCTGTAGTGGGCCCAGGGCTGGGAGTTGGGGTGCAGGAGGGGGCTCTGTGTTTGGTGGGGACTCAGGGCTGGGGTTGGGGTTCGGGCATGGGCTTACCTCGGGCGGCTCCCAGTCAGCAGCATAACAGGGCAAAGGTATGCTCCCTGCCTGTCCTAGCTCCGTGCTGCCCCCCAGAAATGGCCAGCAGGTCTAGCTCCTAGCTGGGGGTGGGGCAGGAGGCTCTGTGCATTGCTCTCACGTGCAGGCACCACCCCCCCAGCTCCCATAGGCCACGGTTCCTGGCCAATGGGAGCACAGAGCCAGTGCTTGGGGCAGGGACAGCACGGGGAGACCCATGGCCCCTCTGCCTAGGAACCGGACCTGCTAGCCACTTCCAGGGTGCAGCATGGTGCCGGGACAGGTAGGGTCTAGTCTGTCTTAAATCAGCAGCACCACCAACCAGACTTTTAACGGCCCAGTCTGCGGTTCTGACCAGAGCCGCCAGGCTACCTTTTTGACCGGGCGTTCCGGTAGCAAAACCGGACACCTGGCAACCCTAGGGTCAGGTGGTGCCAATGTGTCTCATACTATTGTGAGGGCGGGCAGAGGTGCTGGTCTGCTGGAAGATGCTAATAGTGCAGGCCGCCAGTTGTCCAAGCTGTAGACAATTGCAACAGTGGCTGTGCTAAAGAGCTCACACTGGCTCTGCCTATACTGGATGTTGGAAGCCCGGGATCTGATCCCAGTTTGATCCCAACTCCCCCTTTCCTCCACACCCAAATCAGACTGGTTCCAGGGGGCAGGACAGAGCCCAATGCCTGCTGCAACTCAGCACCAAGCACCGTTCCATCGCCATGGAGCCTGTGGCTGCGAGCAGATGAGCCATTCACTGGCAAATCTCAGAGGAAGCCTCTTTATTCCTGGATCCCCCTCCCAGATATGGACCCAGAGCCAGCCAGACCCTACCGCTCTGGGTCAACATTGCAGCTGGTGCCCTTCAAACAAAGAGGTCCTGTACCATGTTCCCCAACTGCCACCGAGCCACCCAGCCTGTGGCCACACAGGGACTAGGGACAGGGCCTCTGAAAGGGAAAGGCCCCATATCCAATCCCCACCCCCGTGAGCCAGCCAGTTCTGGAGCCAGATCAGAGCCAGTGCCCCTTAAAGAGGAAAAGCCCCAGATTGCACTCCCCCGCCCCCTGAGCCAGCTGGTCCCCTGACCTAGGGCTGGATCGGAGCCTCTGCACCTTATTCCATTCCCTGATCCCTCTGAGCAATCTAGCTGTATTCCTGGCATGCTGCTAGGGTTAAATAACTCCGGATAACCAGTGATTCTGCACCCAGCCCCCGCAAAAACACTCCCCCTTGTTCTGCATTTGCAGGAAAGTATTTTATTGCAAGAAGTAGCGAGAATATGAAACTCAGTGACAGCTTCCCCAGAGCTCAGCCTGAGACAACATCCACACAGCATCCAGTGGATCAGGGATGGGAAAGGGCTGTACAGTATAATGGGCACTAGGGGCAGCAGGGAGCAGGGGATGGGGGAGGGGTGGCCACCAAGTGGTTCATGGGAATTTTGGTCTATCCTGGGAGAGTAAAGTAGGGGACCCGAACCAAATCAGTCTGGGATTTCAGAGCTGTTCGGCCTCTTCCACTCCTGGTGGTTCGGGGCAGCCCAGCCCAAGTCCAGGCCAGTTGTGTTTGGATCCTGCCCAGCGACGCGAGGGCTGGGCTCAGACTGAGGGTCTCAGTGCCAGCTGGGGGGGCTGGGTGCCCGGATTTTCACTTGCGTGGATGGGAAGTGGGCACCCAGCGTGGGAAATCTCCCCACAGGCCCCAATTGCTGTCCTGTGGGATAAAGGGAGATGCTGAATGTCCCTGTGGAGATTCATGGCGGGCGCTACCCAGGTGGGGCAAGGATAGGGCAGGAGAGCCCCCAGCGAAAGAAGAATGCCAATGAGCAAAAGGGGCGTGGGGGCAGCAGGGGGATCCCCTGTTCCCAGCTCATGGCAGGTACGTTGGCTCTAAGTGCACAGGCAGCCCCTGGACACAGGCCACACGGACCCTGGTGACTCCGGTTGCAGCCCTGTATCTACAGTGCCCTGGTCGGGAGCCAGGCAGCACCCGGCATGTGGTGACTCTGAATGATCTGTTGCTGTCATAGAGGTTGCCGCTGACGGGTCTCCCTCTGCTGCCGCAGATCTCTTGGAGCTGGCCGGTGCGGGCGTGGATGAAGGTATTGGTTGGTTTGCATTGGCGGCGGGTCAGGCCCCTGCGCTGCATCAGGAGGTTGCAGTAGAGCCGGTTGCTGGAGGCACTGGTCTTGGGGTTGTCGACGTGTTGTCTCACAAACTGCTGGTAGCTGGCACCTTCACTGAGCTGGGCCAGGCCGGCAGCCAGCAGGATGAGGGGCAGTAGGAGCGTGAGGCGGGGTCCTCTTGGGGCCATGGCCGTGTCTGTCACTGGATCGACCTGCAGTGGGGAGAGGGGGAAGATGGATGGAGACAGCATGGCGGGGGAGGATCTGTCTCCTCCATGGAACCTCCAGGGCCTGAACCCCAAGCCCACCATTATACCCTCACACCCCACTCTGTCCCCCAAAAACCACCACAACCCATGATCCCATCCCACTCTAGCCCCAGGACCCCTCACCTCCCACCCAACTCTTGCCCAAATATAAGAGAGTTATTATTTTTATCACATGGCACCTAAATACCCTGCCGAAGATCTGGGCCCCCATTGTGTCATGTGCTGCACAGACCCCAGTTGAAATCAGGGCCTCCCCACTCTATCCCATTATTCCCCACTCCCCTCCCAGAGGGGAGATAGCACTCAGGAGTCCTGACTCCCTGTCCACCTGCTCTAACCACTAGGTCATGCTGCATCCCAGAAACAAATCCTGAAGTTGCAGCCCCATGTGACACTGTTCTCTCCTGTCTCCCAGCTGGTGGAATCTCCTGCAATTTACCCAAGTCCTTGTTCCTTTGCTGTTGTCAGAGAGATGGATCCCAGCCTCTGCAGAGCTGAACCTCACCCTGATCCTCCTGCACATTTTGGCATGGGTTATATAGAGCCCAGCCAGACATGGAGTGAGAGGGCAAATCCAGTAAACAATTGTGTCAGCAGGACTTCCTGATACCTGGCAATTAAAAGCAGTGACCTGGCAGGAAGGGCATGGGTGGGGAATAAATAGCACATGTCCTGCTAGACACCTGGGCTTCATGGAAACATCTCAGGGTGTGTCTACCCAGCAAGCAAAGGTGTGATTGTAGCATGGGTGGGCAGAGCTGGGCCAGCTTTAATCAATCAAGTTCCAGACCGCCAGAAGCTACTCTGGTTGGTAACCTATGCTGAAGTCCATGCCACTATGTCTCTACTTCCCTTTTAACCTGTGTTAGCTAGATTAAAGCTAGCATAGCAGTGCTGACGTGTGCTACAAATACTCTTCATTTGCTGCAGACAGAGCCTAAGTCCTGACCCATTGGCACCTTCCTAATCCAGCCCAAACCTGGAAACTCACAGCTCTGCCGCTGCCCCTCACTCCCAACCCACAGCCTCTGCTGTCCCAGCCCTGGCCTCTCCCCACCCACACCGAGCTCTGCTAATGCCCCTCAATCTCAGCTTGCAGCCCCCTACTCTCTCTCTGCCCTGGGTTCCCCATGAACACATTCATGCCCGTGTCCTTCAATTCTGACCAGCAGCATCACCACCCTCCTTTCCTCAGGCAGCTCTGGACCTTAATGAGGAACTATAATGGTTTCTCTTCATCTGATCAGTGTTATACAGACAAAACTGCACAGGATCGTTTCAGGGGACAAGACGTCACATTTATTATAACACAATTTGATTTATGACCAATAACTAATATCTAGTACCTATGTATACACACACACATCCACACACACCCCAAATGTTCTGCAGCTGCTGTATAGTTACCAGTCCTGTATGTAGCTTGAGCTCGTGGCTTGGGTTCGTAGCTTGTGGCAGCTAACTGGCCAAGAAAGCCGGGCACAAGGAAGGGCTGGGTCTCTGTTGGGCATGCACCGATGCCCTTCCATGTTGGCAGCAGAATGTTACCCTCCAAAGTCTTCCCTCTCACCCATCCTTTTTGTAGGCTTTAGTTTGAATCCAGAGTCTATAGATCGTGCTGTGTCACGCTGCCTCTGGGTTCGGTGTGATTGATCACCTGTCAATTGCAGACATGATTTTCAGCCTGGGACCTGGCTTTGATGTTTCTTCAGTTGTACTTTTGTTCTTTTCTTGTTAGGGTGGACTCTTCTTGCTTTGTCAGGGCTGTTGTCTGCATCTTCAGCCATTGGTGTTTACACTTTTATTTCATCAGGACAGGCTGGGGCTGGAGGTTGATTCCATCATCCATACATACCTCATTCACACATCTAAACTAAACTAATAAGATTACAGCAGGGTTTTGCAAAAATGAAGTGAGCATTTTAAAATGGAGTTTGGGACAAGTTAAAATGGAGTTTGGGTTACAACATGGACAAGTGTAAGGAATGGCAAACAGTGAACAAAGTTACAATTTCAGAGTAGCAGCCCTGTTAGTCTGTATTCACAAAAAGAAAAGGAGGACTTGTGGCACCTTAGAAACTAACGAATTTATTTGTTATTTATATATTTATTGCGTTACAATGTTGAAGCAGTGCAAGTTTCAGTGATTTAAGCAGCAATTGGATTGAAAGTGAAACTCAATTAACCAGTTATTGGGGTAACTGGTTTTATGAATGAATGTTGTTTCATTCATAAAACTTTTCTTATGAAGTTATATTAATAAAGTGAACAATTAAAACCAATTTCATTGATCCGTTCTACATCAGCAGGCCATCATGTCTCCAAAAGCACAGCGGAAAGAGAGTGGGAGGCAGAGCTCTGCATGCAAGCACACTGAGGTCTGAGATTTTCTCAGGCACATAAGGAATTTGGAGGCCATGAGAACTAGCTGGAAACTGGACATCTAAATCCCTTGGGTGATTTGAAGATGGCAGTTACAGCACACGTATCCCTGGGGCTACCGTGCTGTCAGAACAGGAAGAGAGGAGATCAAACTCAGTCTTAAGGGCTGGGTGTGACAGCACACCTCACACATCCACGTACGGTGGCCACTCACGCATTCCCAGAATCCCAGAAACGATGGTACTTCTGGGAACGGGGTGACCCCACTCCCACCGGCGTGACCTAGTAGACATGGTACGTATGAGGTCATGCCATACGGAGGATGCAATTTCAAAGAGCATGCTACTCCATCCCCATGAGTGCCAGGTCACGCTGGCTGTGGCAGAACTGCGCATTCTTCCAAAAGGCGTCCCTTGTCCAACACCAGACAAAAGCACATCCCATTGTATCTGGGGACAAACCACCTAAAAAGAGGCATCTGGTTCAAAACCAGACGCATGGCCAACCTGCAGCTAAGTGATTCTTTCCCTTCAGGATAAGAATGATTCTCTGAAGGAAGAAGAACCCCCTATTGGATGCCATTGGGTGTCTGCCCTATTTGTGAGGGGAAGAAATGTGTGCTTGGAATTTTAATAATGAAAGGAGAGAGAGAGATGAGGAAGAACATGATGAGAGAGAGAGAGTGACACAGGAGTGTTGTAATTTTTTTCTCTTGGGACCGAAGCCACGTCCCTGTTTCAAAAGGAACAGGTTGGGTAGGGCGGGGTTGGCGTTTCGGCTTGCTCACCCATCGGCTCTGGGCAAGGGAAGGAAGATGGTATGTGGAAAGAGACACTTGGAGGAATGCATGCAGATAGACACACAAGAACACACAGGGCACAACACTGGAGACAGACAAGGATCTGACTGACCCAAGCCAGGTGTACTCACCTCACACTGGACAGGGAAGTGTTAACCCCGCACTGTGGGCCAAGAAAGCCATACCCCCTCGCCCCTGCTGGGCATGCTCCAACTGGAGCACCAGTATAAAAGGGAGCAGCTTAGCTCAGTCAGGGCTGTCCACCAAAGAGAGAGAGGACACACATTGCCAGCTTGAGCCTGGGAGCCACTGAAGCCCCAAATTGTGGAAGCCAGACCCGCTGAGACCCAGGCTGTTACCTGCCTACCTGAGGATGCCTGAGGGCGAGCGGAGCTGCAGAGAGCTGCACAGGCCGAGGAACCCAGAGACCCCAGAGACACCAGGACCACCGCATCCGGACACAGGGTAGGAAGTAGTCCAGGGGGACTATACATTGATCTGGTAATGGAACTGAGTGATAAGTCAGCGTGTTTTGCTAGGATCCTCGCTGACTCAGTGATGAGTACACTCGCCGCTGACAGGGCCCAGGGCTGGGGCCTCATGGAGTAGGGAGGACCCGGATCCCCTTACCCCCGCCAACAAACCCCCCCTTGGTGATGGCCCATCCCCCCCTTACAGCCATTAAGCAATGCCATTGGGTCACACGGCCCCAAGGGAGAGGGCATCTATATTGATTCTAGCTACTAGGGCATATATCCTGCGAGGCAGAGCCCTCTATACTGACTCTGGCCATTGGCCACTCAGTCCTCAGGGACAGGGCCCCAATCCTGACTCTGGCCTTTAGACCACACTTCCCTGGGGGAGAGGACAGCTATATTGACTCTGGACACTAGGCCAGGCTTTCCTGAGGTAAAGGGTGGCCAAGTGGACTTAGCCACAGGGCTGTAAAACTCTTGCCCTACCCAAAGGGGGGACGGGGTGTACTCGCCCTGTGACACCCCAACATAAGATAAAAACGTGCACACAAGTTGGAAGAGAAGCCATGCAAGATTGTTCCAAGCAAGAGTCACCCATGCACAAAGCACAAACACACACAGAAGAACCTAATATGAGACACACAACACTAGTACAAGCCAGGGATTCAAACACACAGAACACAAAACCACACCAGACAAAAAAATGAAACACACAAGACCGACCCACACAAACGCAGATACAAGCCCAAACATGACACATAGAATCATAGAATATCAGGGTTGGAAGGGACCTCAGGAGGTCATCTAGTCCAACCCCCTGCTCAAAGCAGGACCAATCCCGAACATGGACAGATGTGACTCACAAAAGCAAGAATTTTGGATTTTCCTTTTGGGGCAGTAATACCAGTGGAAAGAAGCTTGTACCGGTAGAGCTGATTGGTGTCAACAGCACACTGCCTGATTGGCTACATTGTCTGATTTGCTGCAAGAGTCACCAGAGCTGTTCTTGAGTCCATTACTGATCTTCAAAGCCCAAGTTGCCACCCTGGAGGCGCAAGTTCAAGCCAAGCTGCCTTAAGCTCTGATTCCGACAAACTCAAGCTCTACCTAGCTGATGCATTCCATAGCAATCATGATAAATTTAGTGGATTCCTAAATTAGAGTCAGCTTGACCTAAACAACAATGTGAAAAATAAACTGGTCTGGGTGGAATCCACATCCGGCCTTCATTAAGATCTACAACTAACTGACCAAAGGCCTCCAAGAAGAAAGATGGTTTGCCTCGCTCCTGCCAGCTCCAGCTCCGCCATC